GACAGTGTCCTGAGTGCACTGTGCCTTTAATTATGCATAATTTTATCTCATTTTAATCTAATTATGCAGGTATGTAGTCAGTGTGTTCTGAGGAGATCACTTTGGGTGGATTAAGTTGTTTTGTTTCATTTAAACATCAAATCGTTTGGACAATTAGGCAAAAGTTAAATTTCTCATTCAGGCCCTTCCTTTAAAACTGCCAGAGACTCACATCTCTATTTAGTGTCAGAGAATCATCATAGGAAAGGAATGAAATGGAGGTCAGGCAGCTTCTTCTGCATAGAAACCAAGCGTGCTGACGCTTCGTGCGACTCCATGACACGGCTCAGCCCACGTGGAAGATGAGTGACATGGGCCCCTATGACAGGTGACGTGAAGAAATCTTGTCTCGCCCTGGCCGGTGTGGCTCAGTGGATAGAGCATCGGCCTGGGAACTGAAGGGTCCTGGGTTCGATTCCAGTCAAGGGCATGTACCTCGGTTGCAGGCTCCTCCCTGGCCCTGGTCGGGGCTTGTGTGGGAGGCTATCGATCAATGTGCTGCTCTCACACCGATGTTTCTGTCTGTCTCTCCCTCTCTCTTCCACTCTCTGAAAATCAATGGGAAAATATCCTCGGGTGAGGATTAAAGAAAAAGAGAGAGAGAGAGAAGAAAGCTCGTCTCTATCTTAAGAGCGCTGATTCTCCACCAGGGCCTTCAGGAATGGGCTGGGAAGTCCTGGGCAGCACGCCCAGCTGTTCGATTTGAAAAGCTGACCCAGCCTGGGTGTAGGGAATCCACTAGATAAGGTCCCAGGGAAGATACACAGGCGACCCACCTGGCGGGTGTGGGTGTCCACCTGAGACAATCGTGCAGCTGGGAAGAGGGCAGAGGTCCTGGAAATGGAGGGAGGTAGGAAGATGGGGAAAATGTTAGAAGAAAGGAAAAGGGAGAGGCTTGGGCGTGGAGGAGCGGGAACAAAGGCCCCGAGGTTACAGCTGACTGAGTCGGGGAACAGAGGGGCCCGCCTGGGACATGTTGAAGGTGAGGCATTGTAGACACACAGGAGAAGTAGACACGTGGGTGTAAGGTCTAGAGCAGCGGTCACCGACCGGTGGCCCGTGGACCACTGGTGGTCCCTGAGGTCCGAAAGGTTGGCGACCGCTGGTCTAGAGCTCAGACAGGGGGTCCCCGCGGGAGACATGGATTTGTAGGTGTTCTGCATTTAACTCGACTTCAGTCCAATTGTGTAGATGAGACGGCGTAGAACATGTGTCAGGGAAAAACAGGCGGGTCCCACCACATCCACTGAGATGGCGAAGCATCTGAAAAGCCTGATTTAGCCCTGATCACGTGACAGCTCTGCTTCCTGGGTCTGAGGGCGCAGAACCCAGCACTCACCCGGCATGTGTCTCGTCCGTCTTCAGCGAGCGATGACAACAACCTCAACTCCATCTTCTACGAGCACCTGACGCGGTCCCTCCAGGAGTCCCTCTGCGGAGACCTGGTCCTCGGGCGCTGGGGGAACTACAGCTCCGGTGACTGCTTTATCCTGGCCTCCGACTACCTCAACGCTTTCGTCCACCTGATCGAGGTCGGAAACGGCCTCGTCACCTTCCAGCTCCGCGGGCTGGAATTCCGAGGTGAGGATCGCCTGGGTGTGGAGGTTGCTGGGAGTCAGTGACTTGAGTTATCACATAAAACTTAGATAGGAAGTCCCCTCTAACGAGGAAGGACTGCATGCCTGCCTGGTAGAATGAGAGGGAGTGTGGCCCAGCTGCCTTCACCCAGTTATAAGTGGTCATCTTCCCCTCAAAAAAGGCAAGAGGGCCCGGCCGGCATGGCTCAGTG